GTCTAGCACTTTGCATAAATGAAGTATTCCAAGTTCAGAGAGTCAGGCACAAGAGGGGTCAAACTGATCTGGAGTCTAATGCATGGAAGAGATTGTCAACTAGGTAGTTCCCCAAACAAAAGACAAAAGATGACCCATACTCTGTCAAGGACCTAGGAGTACTCATTTCAAAAGATCTAAGCCCCAGAGCTCACTATAACAACATTGCTAAAAAGGCATTAAGAATTGTCAACTTTATTTTATGAAGTTTTCTCTCTGGTAATGCTACACTTTTAACTAGGGCATACAAAACCTTTGCCAGATCTATCCTTCAACACTGCTCACCTGCCTGGAACCCACACTGTATTTGCGATGTTAATACATTAGAGAGAATCCAGAGGTATTTTACAAGAAAAATACTCAACCCCTCTGCTCGCGATAAAATTCCTTATACCTGAAATGCTTTGAAATTTTAGGCCTGGATAACCTTAAACTATGCCATCTACGTTCCGACCTAAGATTAGTACACAAGATTATCTATCATAACATCCTACCTGTTAATGATTACTTCAACTTCAACAATAACAAAAGGGCTATCAATAGATAGAAACTAAATGTAATCTGCTCTAATCTTGGTTGCAGAAAATACGACTTCAGCAATAAAGTAGTAAATGTCTGGAACACTCTACCTTATCCTGTTGTTAGTTTCTCTAACCCCCATACTTTTTACCTTAAACTGTCTACCGTGGACCTTACACGTTTTTTAAGAGGTCCCTAAGGGGGCGTGCATAAGCGTACCTACCATCCCTGGCTATGTTTTGCTTATTTATATCCATTTATTTGTGCCATTTTTTCATGTGTCCATGTCTATGTCTATACTGATACTATTTCCTTGTACTTGTTGACAAAATAATTAAATAAATAAAAAGAGACTCAGAATGATTAGAACCTGATTCATTGGGGCATAGCAGATGGGAGGAGAAGTACCAGATGTGCAACATTTTATTATATCCTATCTTGATAAAGTATATTGTAAATCTGAACTTCCTATGGATGGAGTTTCCTCATCCCACCTACCTTAAAAGGTTGACAATGATGGAACATCTTAATAGATAGATGTGTTGTGGCCCCGCCCTCCGAGCCTATCTCATCGGAGGAAGAAGGCTCCGAACATGAGGAAGTGTCTAACCTCCGTTCGTTGTAGGTAGCAGGATGGAAAAAGAACTCGACCACCAGCTCTTGGATGCTTGAATCATTTAATCCACCCGAAACACAATGGTAACAGCAAGTGACTTCAATGCTGATATACACAAAGTCGGCGTTGGGAGTGGCTGCCTCCCAACGCCTTTTCAATACTCACGCCAGTTATCTACACGCCCTTCCGGGTATCGTGGCTATTGCGCATGCGCGAATCGTAGGCTCCTCGGCTTAGCGTCGGCATCGGGCGTCGGGTGTCAAATCCAGGTTCCCTATCTCAGCCGCTGCGTGACCGGCTGCCTATCTCTATCCTCAATCACCCCCACCACCAGTGTGCACTTGAGTCGCCACCCAGCCCCCCCATTCTCATGCCGTTGATGTTCGTAACCCCAGGATGCATAGACCAGGATCGCTGCTATGAGGTGAGTTGTCGAGTGGATCTCAACAGGCGGCTCCCCCTACCAGGGCTGTTCCTGGAAAACAGAAATGGACATGTTAACAGCAGTTTAAAGCGATGGTTATGTCCCTACGGTCCGGGCCTGTGTGGATGGTGTGTATGGAAGTGCCTAATCATTCAGTTGGCTCTCACATTATCAGCACTAACCCAGGAAGCATCCTCGAATGGGTATCCTTTCCATTTGATCAGGTATTGTAGTTTACCCCTCCTGAGTCTTGAATCTAGGAGTTCCTCTATCTCGTAGTGGTCCCCGTCTACTGGCCCAGGTCTAGTTAGGGTATCTTGAATACTGTCTACCGGTTTTAAGAGACTACTATGAAACACGGGGTGAACCTTACCCAACAGTGGTGGTAATTTTAGTTCCACAGTCACTGGATTAATTACTCGTATTATAGGAAAAGGTCCGAGGTACTTGGGTCCTAATTTCCGACTAGGGGTTTGCAATTTTAGGTACTTAGTAGATAGGTAAACCTGATCTCCCGTTGCGAATGGTTTGAGGTCTGCTCTTTTTTTATCTGCCTGGTGCTTGTATGTGTCTGTTGCTTTTTCCAAAGCCTTTTTTATTTGTGGCCACTGTTCCCATATGCAAACAATCCACCTGTCAGGTGATATTTGTTCTTGTTTGTGTATGTTAAGTTCCGGTATCACGGAGAATTCTTTACCTGACACAACTTGGAAGGGGGTGCAGCCCGTACTACCATGGACAGCATTATTGTATGCTATCTCAGCGAATGGAAGTAATTCCGACCAGTTAGACTGCTGATACGATATGTAACAACGCAAGTACCGCTCTACCATAGCATTTGTCCTCTCGACTGCTCCATTGGTGCATGGATGAAAACCTGAACTTAACCCTTGCGATGATCCTATCATTTTTATAAACGTGCGCCAAAACTTTGAGGTAAATTGAACACCTCTATCTGATATGATACGCTGAGGCGCGTCATGTAATCGATAAATATGCCAAATGAACAACTTGGCTAGCTTTCGGGCCGACGGTAGCCCATGGCATGGGATGAAATGGGCTTGTTTGGAGAAGAGATCAACCACAGTCCATATCACTGTGTTACCGCTGCTCTCTGGCAGATCCACAATAAAGTCCATGGCGATCTCATCCCAGGGTTGTGTGGGTTCCGCCACAGTCTGCAAAAGTCCGATGGGCTTTCCCGGCCGCGGTTTCGCCATGGCACATACTTACAACTTTTCACATATTGTTCAACCTCTTTCCTCATGCGTGGCCACCAGAATTGGCGGCGTATTAGATGTAGGGTCTTTAGGAAGCCAAAGTGGCCAGCCGCTTTAGTATCATGACACTTACGCAGGACGGGCTGTCGCAGTGCCTCGGGAATATACAATCTGGGTTATCACTGTTTTATGTTCCATTAACCAAATATCTGTTGCCAATTGCCGTCGGCCAGGCCTCCCTCTCCAGGCCCCTCCCCTCTGGCACTGCCTCAAATGCTAGCTGAGGAAGAGGAGATTAGTCAGGAGCCAGGTGTCTCCAATGAGAGCGAGGGAGGTGATCTGTCATTCCTGGATCCACGTCAACGAAGGCGTGATAAACGGTTGCAGCAGTTAAGGAGGTGTGCCAGGGATTATAACTGAGTCACTGGACCACACCCAGAGACTATATAAGAGAGTGTGGTGGCCATTTAAGACTCTGTGACAGACAAAAACTAACTCTGGCTAGTCACTTGAACAACGCTTAAAGCTGCCGAAAGGTTTCTTGTTTGGAACTGGACTATTTGTAAAATGTGTGTATTTCTGTTTATCTGGTGAAGGGATATTAAGTAAAAAGCACTTGGCAGTCGGTGCTCGTATTGCTGCCAAGTTTTTGATAACAAACTGTGGGTGCCAAGTGCTTCCTTTAACCCTCGGCTGGCTGTGTGTGTGTGTGTGTGGAGACGGGGACAGAACAAGATGTAAGTAGAACCCTAGGCAATTAGATCTGCTCTAAAACATACTCACACATATAGTATCTTCACTTAATTAATATCTGAACATGGATAGTAGAACCTACTGATTGCTAATTATATTAACAAGATGCTTATGTTAACATTATGTCTCATTTTGATTGTGTGGTATTATGTTCTATAATTAAATCTTGAGGGAAACAATGAACTGATTAATCAGTTTTCTAAATATACAGTCAATCTTTCCCACTGATGATATGTTTGTACATCTGTATCCAACAAAAGGTGGATAGTGTTTATCCAATACTACACTATACTTCATGGTCTAAAGACTATGCAGCAGAAGACCCAAATTCTAAGAATACAAGTAGTAAGTGATTTGTTGACTAAACATTTAACAGCAAAGCCATACATGTTTTCTGGGTCAAATTGTCATTTAGTTAAATATGTCTGACTCAACTATTTGTTAGACTCAATTCTATAAAGTTGACATTGCAAAGAGAATTTAAAGAAATTATAATACAATATATACTTTTCTACATAAAATGTTATATGTTGCAGAGAGAAAGGGAGCAATTTTTTCAGAAATTTGGACTCAAATTAAAAATATTATGAATCAAAATAATGAGAATCTATTTGTGTGGGGGACAGGATTTTATATGAATGCAAAGCAATAAAACTAAGGCATATTTAAAGAGAGTCTCAAAAGTGCTTTTTTTTTTCCTTCAGAAGGCAACTGGATTGTTTTTTCCTTGAGGAAGAAGGAGAAAATATTTTGCTTCTCATACAAGAAGCTTCTTAAGTTCTGATGGTGGGAAGATGGAAGGATAGGTACTGACAGCTGAGACTGGATGAGAGGGGACTGAAGGATAGGTTCTGACAGGGTGGTGGGGAAGTGTTGGTGAGTCAGACGTATCTTATACTTTCTTAAGAGTTTCCATCTTCAAGCTTCACTGTAATACTTTATAGTAAGTGCGGATTTTCTAGCTTTGAATAGAATAGAATAGAATTCTTTATTGGCCAAGTGTGATTGGACACACAAGGAATTTGTCTTGGTGCATATGCTCTCAGTGTACATAAAAGAAAAGATACATTCGTCAAGAATCATAAGGTACAACACTTAATGATAGTCATAGGGAACAAATAAGCAATCAAATCATTAGGAAACAGTCAATATAAATCGTAAGGATACCAGCAATCGTAAGGTTACAGTGATACAGTCATAAATGGGAGGAAATGGGTGACAGGAACAATGAGAAGATTAATAGTAATGCAGACTTAGTAACTAGTTTGACAGTGGTGAGGGAATTATTTGTTTAGCAGAGTGATGGCATTCAGGAAAAAACTGTTCTTGTGTCTAGTGTTCTTGTATCATGCCTTTTGGAGATTAAGACACCATACATGGCATAGATTCATGCTTTTCCTCTAACATGCTTCCTTGTAGATATGTCATAATGGAGAATCAAACTACTGTTCCTTATTTTCTGCTCCTGGAATTTTCAAAAAATCGGCAACTGCAGCTTCTACATTTCTTCTTATTCTTCATATTATACCTGGCAACAGCAACAGCAAATCTTCTCATCATCTCTGTAATAGCTTTTGACCATCAACTGCACAGCCCCATGTACTTCTTTCTAATGAATTTGGCTTTGCAAGACCTAGGCATTGCTTCAGTCATTGTTCCCAAATCTATGATAAATTCTCTCATGGACACCAGACAAATCTCTTACTTTGGTTGTCTTGCTCAAATCTTTCTCTTTGTCTCCTTTGAAGCTTTTGAATTGTTCCTCCTGACAGTCATGGCATATGATCGGTATGTTGCCATTTGCCGCCCACTGCACTATGAGATGGTGATGAATTGGAAAGCCTGCATCAAAATAGTTATTCTGGTGGGAATTACAGGTATACTTTATGGAATGTTGCACACCACTGGCACTTTTTACATCCCTTTGTGTTCTAATATTATCAACCAATTTTACTGTGAAATTCCACAATTGCTAAATCTGTCCTGCTTTGGTTTCAATCTACTTGAAATTGGATTGCTTGGAGTTAGTATAACTGCAGGATTTGGTTGCTTTATTTTTATTATCTTCTCCTATGTCATGATCTTCAAGGCAGTGCTGAGAATCCCTTCAATGAAAGGAAGGCAGAAGACCTTTTCCACTTGTCTTCCACATCTGATAATCTTTTGTATTCTTTTGGTAACTTCATGCCTGGCCTACCTGAGACCCCCCTCTAATACCCCATCTTATTTAGATTTAGTATTCACTGTCCTATATTCCTTACTTCCACCCCTGTTCAATCCAATCATCTATAGCATGAGAAATAAGAATATCATACTTGTCCTAGCTAAACTGTGGAGATTCTGACATTTTGTTCACTCATGTTTTTTTATTTGATTCTCTTGCATTGAACTTTTTAAGTTTTTTGCCTTCAGGAAGGGAAAGGAATTACAAAGGAAACACAGTTAAGATAGAAATAAATACTAATCATATCCTCCCAGATCAATGCTACCACTTGAGAAGGCGCTAAAGTATAATTCCATATCCTGAGTCACAGCCTTGACCCACTCCTCTTGGCAGCCCCTCAAATATTGGAATACTGCTATCATGTCTCCTCTGGTCCTTCTCTTCACTAGATTAGCCATGCCCAGTTCCCAGTTCCTGCAACCATTCATCATATGTTTTAGTCTCCAGTTCCCTAATCATCTTGTTGCTCTTCTCTGCACTCTTTCTACATTTTTATAGTGTGGTGACCAAAACTAGATGCAGTATTCTAGTGTGGTCTTACTAAGGCTTTATAGAGTGGTATTAGTACCTCACTTGATCTTGATTGTATCCCTCTGTTAATGCAATTTAGGATTGCATTGGCTTTTTTGGCTGCCGCTGCACACTGTTGGCTCATATTTAATTGGTTGTCCACTAAGATTCCAAGATCCCTCTCACGGTTACTGCTATTACGCCTGGTTTTACACAGTCTATATGTGTACTTTTGGGTTTTCTTGCCTAAGTGTACAACTTTACTTTTATCTACATTGAATTTCATTTTGTTAGATAGGGTCCAGTGTTCAAGTCTGTCAAGATGACTGAAAAGAGCTGGGAAATGGGTAATTGATTCTTTTACTGATGAAATATATATTTATACTACAGATAGGCTCAGTTTAAAATGTCACGTGGTTGTGTAGACTTGCCTAAGCTTCCTTTTATAAACTTATTATTTTGACCCAGTTTAGTTCCAGTGTAGCTGTTGTTAAAATTTCTGTAGAACTTTAAGTTCTACTTTTCTTTTTGGAGAATTCATTCCATTTAAGCACTTATTTTTTGGGCTGTCTGGTCCTGAAGTCATTGCTATCTCTCAAGTTCTCCAATACTAAGTGGGATCTAAGATGTAAAAGCGCTTTTATTAAAACAAGAAAGAAATGTATAAAATTGATATGATTTTTTTGGAATAATTAGCTGGAGTGCACTGTTCCTTTGAATTGGTGAAAGACTGTCTTGAAGACTGTGGTATTAATTCCTTTTGATCATAAAGCAAACTTGTTTTACAAAAAAACTAATTAGTTAAGGCCTTCCCAGAAGTGGCATATAGTTGGTCTAAGCAGTGATTAGTGTCCCATTGTGGGAGGGGTGATGCTGTCTCCTTTGAAGAAGACTATGTTATAGTCTTTTCTTAGGAAGCAATCCATGAATTCAACTTTGTTAGGTAAATTTGCTGGTAACCAACTTCTCTGTTTTAGAGAAAGCTGATGAATGCATTGATGGTGCTAATTTCAGAGGGCATTGGATGAAATAGATTATCTGGATCCTTTTCAGTCAGGGTTAAGGCCAGATGACAGCACTGAAAAAGATTAAAATATCTTGTTACTTCTAGCTACATTTTTTGGAAAGAAGCAATTTCCAAATTTCCAATTTGACATCTTTGTTCCTCATGCTGTAGATTATTGGATTTATTAGTGAAGACATGACAATAGATAGCATACTTAGTCTAGCCTGGGTAAAGAATTAAGAGGTAGTATCAGATGAGCCAAGATACTATTGCCAAGGAATACAGAAACAATAATGAGTGTGGGATGCAAGTGGAAAAGACCTTTTCCTTTCTCTCAACTCAGTATTCTCAGCACGGTAGAAAAGATCCACACATAGATTTTTAAAAAAGTGAAGAATAATTTTGGGATAAGAATTTGGCTTGCTGCCTAACTCAAGAAGAGAGAACTACAGATCTGCCACATTCATTTTTGTGGGCCATTTTTAATTGCTGAGGATTTGGTGTTGCAGCCCCTCAATTTTCAAGAGCAAAAATGGGCTATTCGTGTTTTTTAAAGTCACTATTTTCAGAGCACTGTATCAAGTTGGTCATTGAGTTCCAAAACTGTAATGAATGTTCTTTTATGTTGGCAATGCTTGTAAGAAGACCTGTAGCCTCAATCTCAGACAAGGTTTATTTTGTCGTTAGACAAAGTTCAGTTTCTGGGTCTTAAAATTTATGCTTTTCAGCCAGTTATTTCCACATTTTTCAGTGCAAGTATAATAGAACGTAGGGCTCTTTTCAACTTCAGCCCAGGCATGGGAGTGCAAATCGGTTCAAGGAAGTCCTTTTACCCGTAACATATTCATGGATCTTCTTTGCCCATCCCCACCCCCACATTGGGCCTGTTCCTACTGGTGGGAACATCCCCTTTTCTCACTTCCTGAATGCCCTGCAGTGAGACCTTGAATGGGCTGCCCAAACCGAGGGCCCTGAAGATTCTGTGAGGCTGCTTTTTGCCCCAAGCTCCTGCTTCTTTGGGGATCTCCCTTGAAAGTAATACTCATGTTGCAGAGTTTTACCATTGAGCACGAATGGAAGACAAAGAAGCTGCTGCTGCTCCTTCACTGCACACACACACCCCAATTCAGTTTGACTGGGGTTCCTTGATCCATGAGAACAAGACCCATCAGGTCTCAGGCTGGGTAGGACAGCTGCTCCCACTCAATTGCCCGGCATCCGTGAATGCTTTTGCCATGGGTGACATAAAAGAAGCACTGTTGGCAATGCTGTCCTACCCTCCTGAGACGATGGCTCTCAATAAGCCTGCACCAGCCGTTTGGATCACCCTGTGGCCTCCCTTCCCCAGGGACTTTTTGACAAGTTTCATGCTCTTCCTTTTAAGCTCTTTATTGGAAAATAAGTTGTAATTGCAACACCAACAGTTAAATTAGCACAATCACAGACTAATCTGTTGTTCAAAATGTATACCTATAATTAAAAACATAAAAATGTAAACATTAAAAAAAAAGAAGAGAGAACTGCCATTGTATCAGACTGATGCTATGCACTCAACATGAAATGCCAGCCTTGTGAATCTTCTCTCTGAAGGTGAGAACTAGATATAACAATTCTATTTTGACAACCTCTGCTTGGATATGACAGACACTACATTCTCAAGTTGATCTAACAAACCGAAGAAGAAAGACCAACTTCATGCTCACGCTGTTTTACAATAAAACTGATCTTTTATGTTATCGTTCAAATTTTGTCTGTTAAAGGAAAAACCAATTAATGTGCCTTCCCCTAAAATCAAGAGCAAAAGAAATGTCAGAGATAAACCCTAATTACTTTTTATACCTAATATCTAAAATGTCTTAATCTAATGCCTTTCTACAGGATGATTATGAGATTGGGTGAATTAACTCATTGATAATTTCTGAAACTGACTTCCAAAATGAAATTATTTCCCATTTAGGAATAGCCACTCTCCCCTTTTACGAAGAAAGGTGAATATATGCGACCTAGGATAATGTTGCAGGATCCAATCTGATCGGTTATCAGGACCAGAAGTTTTGTCTTCCCAGCTTTCTGACTCATAATGGAGTCCATCTTCAGAGAACTTCTCTCTATCAGAGTGTGTACTTTGGGGTGTTCTCCATGTGATATTTATATGGTGCCAATTTTATGTGGCTTTCTAGGTTTTGATTGGGGTTTTGATGGATGGCTATTAAGTCGTTGGCTTTATTTTTATATTTTTTCCCCATTCTACTGTTTTTAATATTATTTCCAGCAGCACCTCTTTTTTGATATTTACTTAAGGGCAATTTAAAATGAGCATTTGAAATATGGCATCTCAAGTATTTTAAATCTTTACTTATAGCTATAGATAGTCCTCAATTTATGACAACAATTGAGCCCAACATTTCTGTTTCTAAGCAAATCAGTTGTTAAGTGAGCTTTCCCCCCATTTTATGACGTTTCTTGCCACAGTTGTCAAGTGAATTACTGCAACTGCTAAGTTAGTAATACAGTTATTAAGTGAATCTGGCTTCCCCATTAACTTTGCTTGTCAGAAGGTCACAAAAAGTGATCACATAACCCCAGGACACTGCAGCCATCATAAATACATGCCGGTTGCCAAGGGTCTGAATTTTAATTATGTGGCCATGAGGATACTGCAACCATTGCAAAGAAAATGATCTTAAATCATTTTTTTCAATGCTGCTGTAACTTAAAACAGTCACAAAATGATTGGTTGTAAATTGAGGGCTACCTGTATTGATTTACAAGTTCACAGGATAGTAATGAATACCATGCCCTGATTAAAAAAATATATTCTTTCCCAGGGAGATCAGAGGAGCGATTAATTTGTATTATTAAAAATTTAGTGAAAGTGGCACTTCTCTTCAATTTATATTTCAATTATATTTCATAGCATAATGTCATGTCAAACACAGAACTTACAGTATCTTCTTTATAATTTCTTGATGGGAAATCTTCAGATTATTTTTCTGATATTATTCAGTCATGATCTGCACAACTTCTTTTTAAAAGTTTATCTATAGGTATTTTTCAATTTAGAAATAAAATTACAATGGAATTGAAGGAAGGAACTTATTACATGCAGCCAATTACTTTGAATTACTTTGACAAAGTCAATACTTTACCAATAGTAGTTGTAAATATAATAATAATAAACAAATCATAGACAATAAATGAATCACAGAAGTTATATAAACATGAAAATATAAATATACATAATATAAATATACATAATTTTCATAAGCTTAGTAAAAAAAATAAACCAAAATTTAGGCATTTACTATTAAGCTTTAAATAGTGAGAGTGAGGTTTATTATCTTATTCTGCAAGGCCTTTTTTTTTTTTTTCATTTAAGTAGCAACAATCTGAGGCTACCATGGCTGCAATTTATCTTCAGGCAACTGTCATAGGACAACGTGGCATTAGATAATTCTCATAGTCAGGTAGATAGCATCAGCATGACATCACGAAGGGTAGTTTGTGGTCTCCATGTAGATCTGGAGTGTCAAACTTACATCATCACAGCAGTGTCATGTGACATATTGGGACTTTTTCCACCTTTGCTATCACATTGGCGTGGTAGCACGTGACACATCCGGCCTATGGGCCAGGAGTTTGACAGCTCTGATGTAGATGTTTTATTATAAGTCCATCTGAGCTAGCAGTTCAGAAACCCACTTAAGTGAGTCAAGGCTTAAAGTGAAAGAAACCTTGTATGCTGCTTTAATTCAAGATCTAAGAGAAGGCAACCGGAGCTTTGAATTATGCTACTTGTTTAGAGGTCTCATTTTTAAACTTTTATATTCAATTTATATATTTTGCATACCAATTTTAAAAAAGCAATTGTGATTTTTTTTGTTTTGTCAAATATATCTATATTCTTGTATTATAATGATTATTTGTATTTATTTCAGATGATCCAATTCAGACTCTGTAAAGAAACAGCTTGATTTGGTTCTAGAGAAGATTTCAGTGAATAAAAGTCCTTTGAGATGAGGATGATTGGAAACAGAATTTATTTTTTCCATGATTAAATATCTTTTCCATAATTACTTTCAAAAATATATTTTAAAACTGTTGAGCATTTGAAAATTGCTAAAGAAAATTGCCTAAGAAAATCAAAGTGAACTAAATCAAGAGCAAACTAAATAATTGGAATTGGAATCAATTTTAGTTATTCTCAGTTGTGGACCATTAAATAATTGGGACAATAAACTTCTATTTATTTTAATGGATCCAATTAGATAATAAGATTAATCCAAGAGATAATTGACTCACAAATACTTAGCATATTATGTTACAGATTTTTTGTGGAGGTCTCCATTCCAGAACTTTGAAAAAACTCCAGGTTTCTGTTAATCTGAATTTCTTTTCTCCAAAATTTGAATTATATTGTTTTACACACATTTGGACTATGGCTAAATTTTCAATGACTGCCTTTAGTAAAAATTCTCCTCCTTGTTGCAAAGTAGAATATTCCACCTTTATTTAATTTAATTGACTTCAGAGAGAAATATAATAGATAGCATTTTGCATCAGAAGAAAACACACTATTTTGCAGTTTCATAGGTATATATTACACAGGAGAGTGTCACTCTCCCAGGCACAATTAATTAATTAATTAATATACTACGCATCTCATAGATTGAAGTGAGCCTGGGCAGTTTACAATATAATAATGAATAGACATATAAAAACAATTATATAATAACAGATTAAAATTATGAAATTAAATACAGACTAAAAGACCACAGATGTGGAGTGAAGCAGCAGTGGTATGTTCTTTGTCAATGAACATTCATCTGCAGCACTAAAAACATGAAGATCCAAGGGTGTGACTGCTCCTCTTCTACCAACAACATTGACTATACAACCAAAGAGAATCATCATAATACCCAAATCTGCAGCTGGTATTGAAATTCATTAAGAGATCATAAAGCATAAAAACAGATAACAACCCTCTTCCCAGCTCTTCAAAAAGCATGACCAATGTTCTCCAAACTGTATCCTAAACTGAAGCCAGACTGAAATAGGTACTGATAAATCACTTTCTCCAAGAATCTCTGCAATGATTGTCCATGTCCTGTCCCAGACCAAACATACACAAACACATGGGAAGCTTTATTGGAAATTGGTGAAGTAAGGACTAAAGTGGCAAAGTAAGTGTGAGAACCTAAATATACAAGAAAATGTCCAGAAGTTTGTCTTTTAAGAGTTCCAAATCTAAAAAGTAGACACAAGAGTACTTAAACTGAACTCTTAGGATCTAACATTACAGGAGCTACATTAGTTGTCTCAGGTCCAAACCAAAGCCAAAATGATTCACTGACAGATCTGTAAAAATTATCCTTTGCCAGTAATGAATAATAATAATAAAGATAATAATAAAGTTGTGTGGTAAGTAATAAAAAATGAGCAGGTTAGATATTGTGAGATTTCTAAATAAAAACTGACAGCATCTTAACTCATAGCACACCAATATTTAAAGATTGTCATATACCAGCAATGGCAATCCCACAGTTATAGGCCCGTTATCATACCAAAAATTCTTGGATGGCCCTTCAACTCTTATCTGTCGTCTGGACTACTGCAATGCCCTCTACATGGGGCTGCTCTTGTGGTGCACCCGAAGGCTTCAGCTGGTCCAGAATGCGACCGCGCAGGTTGTTACGGGAGCTTCCCGTTACTCCCGTGTTACACCTCTCCTGTGTGAGCTGCACTGGTTGCTGGTGGTCCTTCGGATCCGCTTCAAGGTGCTGGTACTCACCTATAAAGCCCTTCATGGCATGGGCCCAGGGGACTTGCAGAACCACCTCCTACTGGCCTCCCACTGCCCAGTGCGCTGTTATAGGACTGCCCTCCTCCGGGTGCCATCAGCCAGACAATGTCGCCTGTTGGTGCCCAGGATGAGGGTGTTCTCTGTGGCCACACTGAGCCTCTGGAACGAGTTACCCATTGGGCTCCGAACGGCCCCCGACCTCCGCTCTTTCCACGGTGACCTGAAGACGTGACTTTTTCAACAAATCTCTTGATCTGTTGGGGGTTTTAGTTTTAACTGTCAGGAATTTTAATTGGGATTATTTTAGTATTCATTTTATTGTCTTGTTGTTTTATTGTTGTGAGCCACCCCGACTCCTTCGGGAGAAGGGCGGCATATAAGTGTGATAAAAATAAATAAAATAAATAAACTCTGTGCATTGACAAAATTTGCTGCTCTAGAACTTCATGCACATCTTCTCATTTAATCCATATGTGAACGTGGATAGTGCAAGCTACTAATTGTTAATTACATTAATGATATTGTTAATATTTTGTGTAATTTTGACAGTGTGGTTCTTTGCTATGTAATTAATTCTTGAGGGAAATGTATAATAAATATACATTCAACCTTTCATACTGATGATACATCTGTACATCTGCATGCAACAAAAGTTGGACATTTTTTTATCCAATACTGCACCTATGTTTCTGAGTCAAAGCAGTATGCAGCAGGAGACACAAATTCTATGAAGAAGAGCACCAAGTGAAATGTAGACTGAAAATTTAATAGAAAGGTATATCCTGTTTTCTGCAAATTGTCATTTAGTTAAATCTGTATGGCTTGACTATTTGTTAGACTCAATTCTGTAATGCTAACATTGGAAAGAGAATGTAAAGAAATGATAACATAACACCGTACTTTAATATGTTATTTAGATGGGGTAAAGAAAATAAAGGATTATTTTCAGAAATATAGACTTGAATTAAGAAATATGACAAATCAAAATAATAAGAATCTGTTTCAGAGAGTGGATGGGATTTTACATGCATCCTAAGAAATAAAACAAATGTCTGTTTAAAATGGTCATATCTCTCCCTCATGCTTATACTGGAAAATAAAATGTATTTATACATTGTAGAAATGTAGATCTGCTCCCTAATAGGTGAATTAATATCACTGGCATTATTTTTACGTTCATCTGTGCTTAACGGACAAAGTATGATGGTATTTCTGAAATTGTTTCTTCATTATATACTTCTAAAACACTCATTCCTGTAACCTCAAATCTCAATACTATGCACTATAGGGCAAAATATTTTCAACCAAGGTAGGCTATCCACATCTATGACTCCCATTGAACTGAAATTTGACAAATGTTATAAACCATTTTGCAGACATAATGCAAAATGTTGTAAATCCTCTTGATGTTTGATTGTGCTATATAGTTCAATATGGGTTATTTTTAAGGCAGAAATGTCTTTGAATTTTTAAGAACATTTTCAGTGAAGGCAGTACTTAGAAGCTCTGCCATTGTTGAGCATAATGAGGAATTTGGTAAAGGAATTATGCCTCCCTGGAAAAGCAGCAAGCAATTCCATGGGTCAGCCAAGGAGAAGAAGGTTTCACCATGGCTATCCTAAGGGATGTGAGGGGAGGGGAAATGGTGCAAGCCTATATATTGAAAATGTTTCAAAAGGGTATAGTTGTCTACTTGTTGATAAATGTTTGAGTCATATTACTCAAAGTGATCCTTAAAAAATCATGGCTAGTGTATTATATGTCCATCTAATTTTTAATTAAAAATTAGGGGGAAATTATTTGGGTATATTTGATAGGAAGATTTTGATTTCTTTAGAAAAATAGATAGAGAATTATGAATCATGTCTGTGAAAAAATTAAAGAAACTTATATCTAGACCAACACTTATCAATGAGTAATTTGGCAAATAATGACCTTTTTAAATATACCATTAAGGCAGCACATTTTATACTACAATAAAATAATATAATAAACTGTGAAAACTATATGAGTGGCCACCAAGAATTGGAAAGGCATATTTAAGAATGGAAGTAGTGATTTTGCACTCATATATAGTTTTCTCTAATATTATTTCTCATATTATCTGCTTCCTTACAGTTATTTCATAATTTAAACATGGAGAATCAAACCATTGTGTCTTATTTTCTGCTTATCGAATTCTCAAAAAACCGTGATCTGCAACTCCTACATTTCTTCTTATTCTTCATATTATACCTGGCAACGGCAATAGCTAATTTTGTCATCATCACTGCGGTAGCTTTCGACCATCGCCTGCACAGCCCCATGTACTTCTTTCTAATGAACTTGGCTATACAGGACTTGGGTATTGTTTCAGTCATTGTCCCCAAATCCATGATAAATTCTCTCATGGACACCAGACAAATTTCTTACTTTGGTTGTGTTGCTCAAATCTTTTTCTTTTTCTCCTTTGAAGCTTTTGATTTCTCCCTCCTGACAGTCATGGCATATGATCGTTATGTTGCTATTTGTCATCCCCTGCACTATGAGATGGTAATGAATTGGAAAGTCTGCACCAAAATAATTATTCTGGTTGGGGTTACAGGTCTTCTCTATGGAATATTGCACACCACTGGAACTTTTTCCACCCCTTTCTGTTCTAATGTTATCAACCAGTTTTTCGGTGAACTTCCATACTTGTTAAAGTTATCCTGCTTTGATTTCAATCTAGTTGAATTTGGATTCTTGATTATTAGTATCATTGCAGAATTTGGTTGCTCCATTTTTATTATTGTCTCCTATATCATGATCTTCAAAGCAGTGTTCAGAATCCCTTCTGTGAAAGGAAGGCAGAAGGCCTTTTCAACTTGTCTTCCCCATCTTATAATTGTTTGTATCTTTTGGGTAACTTCATGCTTGGCCTACCTGAGATCGCCTTCTAACATCCCAAGTTACTTAGATTTAACATTCACCATCCCATATTCCTTACTTCCACCCCTGTTCAATCCAATCATCTATAGCATGAGAAATGAGAAAATCAAATCTGTCCTGTCTAAACTGTGGAAAGTCTGAAATTTTCTTTTACCTGTGTTTTTCATTTGATTCTCCTGCATTGAACTTTCTGTGTCATTTGCTCTCAGTTTTATCAGGAAGAAAAAGCAATTGTAAAGTGAAACTCAGCTGAGATACAGATAGAGCCTTATCATGTCGCTTCAGATCAATGGTCCAGGTCAGCACTGGAGAAGTGGTAAACTACAATTCCATACTCTGAGTCATTGCCATTTCAATCAAGCAGAGGCCAGGAGAGGAATATGAAAAATATGTCCAATTAATTATTTTACCATTGAAATATAGATTTACTGTATACTATAGAAAGGCTCAGTTTAAAAGGGCAGATGGGTGTGTAGACCTGCCTAAGATTCCTTTAATAACGTTATTAATGTGGCCCAGTTTAGTTCTTATGTAGGTGTTGTTAAAATTTCTACAGAACTTAAAATAAAGAGTAATGTATTTAAATTTATTTCTGAACAGTTCATTCCATTTAAGTACCTTTCTGGTCTTGATATCATTGCTGTGTCCCAGCTGGGTTGGCAAATAGATTATTTTCTAGCCAGACCAAGTGACAGCTCTGAGAAAGATTAAAATAAGATGTCTGATTATTTCAGGTTATCCTATTTGGACTTTCATCACTCCAACACCTCCATTATATATTTATCTTATATTCCAATACACAACTATACACAAAGATTAATTTGTATCTACATGCTACTACTGCCTAAGTGCCCTAGAGGAAGAGATTTCTACTCTACACCTTTGATGCTGACACAAAAATAGTCATTGCGATTTTGGAATGAGGTCTGTTATTGCTGACTGCCACAAAATTACTACTTTGCCTTTGAGAGTTTGTGGGAGCAACATAGTGGAGAGCTGGCATTGGTTAAATTGGAGCACGATGATAAAGAGGTGTCATGGCTCAATAGAAAGGAGATTAGAACAGAGGTTCTATTAGATTATTTGCAGAATAAACATTCCAAACAGTGACAGTTGGCTGCAGCAACAGTCCAAAGAGTGAAAGTTGACTGCAGCCTATATAAGGGACTTTGCTATCTCTGTCTTCTTTGCTGGAAAGGACATCTGGCTCTGAATGGATCACCATGTATGTATTTCACTCTTGAATCTTAGTCCCTTGTACTGGCTTACAATCTTGATCCAATTCTTGAACTTTGGACCAGCTTTAGACAATTATTTTGCACACTCTTTTAAAAAACATAGTTCACAGGAAATACTTCTTTTTGTTTAACATTCCTTGTTATGTTGCTAACTCTGTTACTTGGAAACAAAATTGATAGTCTCTCAATAAACAATGCCTGTATAAGAGAATGAAACCTGAAGCAGACAATAGATGAGAAATTACCTAATTCCTTATTTTATTTATTTATTTATTATTTATCAGATTTTCTATTTCACTGCAGTCAAAAAGACTGTTATTACACAATATATAAAGCTGACTAATCACTCACAATATATAATTTCCTAAAGAAAACAAAAACACACACCTAAAAAGTATATGTAATTAAAACAAAAGTTAAAGATGATATAAAATGCAAACAAGTAGGCCATTCTTCCAATCTTGATTCCATCTGGTTCTTTATAAAAAGCAAATTGCATAATGTAGCAGGCCATTTTCTGCCCATATTTAATGAAACCAATATTTTATCTACTGATTCACTGGTTGGTGGCCATGTCCTCCTGCTCTGATGGCCAAATATGTCTTCTAGCTACATGCCTCAGTATGCTAGATGCCAATTAGGCAACAAAGACAAGGAGGATCCTTTAAGTTATGATTTATTTAAAAGTTTCAATTCAATTCAATTTTGAGGAAGGAACCTGGAACAAAGACTTGCATTTATTTTTATAATTTGCATAACAGAAAACTACAAAGTAAAAGTTGATTGGCTTAGGAAAAAATCATATATCCAATCACACGATGAAAAATTAGTCATCCAATAATATGTAAGCATAAGGACTGAAAAGAGCATTATATTCTGAATAAAAGTAAAAGAAACATTTGCAAGAGAAAAACCTAAAGATACATTCTCAGCTCTATCCCAGCACTGGGATCAAATGCTTTGTTTGTAGAGGATTGGGAACAGCTGGAAACAAAAGTATTTTATTTATAATATTTTAAGAACTGTGGTTTCTAAAAGAAAGGCCTTTTAAGTTCTTTTTACTAGGTTAGGCTTATGGCCAACTAATTAAAGAGAAAGGGAAAAAAAAGAAATAAGGCAGATTAAAATACAAGAAAAACTATCTTAGTTAGCCAGTACAACAATACTACAAAACCCACATTGCAAGTATTACAAAGTCCATTCTATATGACTGAGAGAAGTATGCATTATTCCTGTAAAAGCAAAACAAGAGTGGGGCCATGTTTGTCTTTTATATGCCCTAAAAACACCAGATGTGAGGCAGTTGTGAAATACAGGCTTTTTGGCAAATAATAGAGGGGAATAACAGCAATAAATTGATTAAGGATATTCCATGTCAGGTCAAGCTGACACTGGCAGGAAGAGGGCTGTCATATTGATATTGATAATGTTGGTATGACCACGATTATCAGGGGATGTTCAAATCCGGGAAAACAGTTGTTATTTAGCCAAAACACTTATCTTATGTAAGTAATATTATCTTATGTAAGTAATTAAGGGGTGGTAGGAAGGAGGGGATTTTTCTATACAGAAACTGTATTTAAACTTGTAATTATCAGTAATCTGTATTGCTTTGTGTCTCAAATGGGCACAAGGAAGTCCCTTTTGCAAAAGGTACAATAAACAGCCTTTCTATTGTTCATGGAGTCTCCGGAGTTGTTCATCTGGGAATTTTAAATCTCACAGTGACCTTCAACTTCCAGACTATACTCTGAATTTGGCTGGATGCTTGAATACATTTAATATTATTAAGCAGCCTGAAATGCAGATTGCAAAACAGCTCTTTTTTTATGCAAAGATATACCTTGATGCTAAAAGTAGTCTGCCAGGGTGTCAGTGCCAGTTATGTCAGTGAGATAAAGGGCTGAGGTATAGTAGAAGTCATACACCAGTAGTAATATTATCAGAACCACAAAGTCTTCATAGATCATTTAGGAGCCTTGATAGTACAGTGGTCTAAGCACCCTGTTATTAACACAGCTGCCTGCAATTACTGCTGGTTCAAATCTCTCCAAGGCTCAAGGTTGACTCAGCCTTCCATCCTTTCTAAGGTAGGTGAAATGCGGACCCAGTTTGTGGGGGCAATAAGCTGACTTTGTATAAATATACAAAAGTATGAAGGCTATTGCTTAACGCATTGTAAGCCACCCTGAGTCTCCGGAGAAGGGTGGCATATAAATCAAATAAAAAAAAATAGGAGTTAATCAAAGCAATAGCTGTACAGTTTTTCATGACTGATCTGGTTTCTCTGCTTTTGTTGATTACCCTATGTGCCATTTTCCCTAAATATTAATCATTCATATTGCTTAGTTCCTAATTATAGTACCACAATGTCTTCAGGATTGGGATAAACTATCACCAATCAAAACAATTTATTTACCACATTTCAAGATCTCAACAGAATTAGTGATTGTAAGAGGCCCAATATTATAAAACATTTATTTTGACAAAGGCACCAAATCAAAATTTATAACATATTAACAAACAATATATATTTGATGGCACATGCCTAGTCAGCTATCCTAATCTGATTGAAATTTCTCAATAACCTGACTTTAAAAAAATATGGTGAGGAACAAATTGGTATATTAAAAGGAAATTATCATTTTTTATTAATTAATCACCAACCAAACAACTTCCAAAAGGCAATTTTGATATCTTTGTTCCTCATGCTGTAGATTATTGGATTCATTAGTGAAGGCATAACAGTATATAGTGCAGTAAATACTTGATTGATTCCAGATGAAGAATTAGTTGGCAATATCAGATGAGCAACGATAGAACTGCTAACTAATAGGGAAACAACAACAAGGTGGGGGATGCAAGTGGAGAAGGCCTTTTCCCTTCTCTCAATTGAGGGCATTTTCAGCACAGTGGTAAAAATCTGCACATAGGTCAAGATGATGAATGAGAGGCAGCCCGCTCCTAAGCATGAGCTAATGGCAAGAACCCAGGTTTCATTCAGATAAGAACCAGGACAAACAAGCTTGATTAATTGTGGAACTTCACAGAAGAACTGATTGATGATGTTGGAGCAGAAAGGCATTGAAAAAATATTCCCTGTGTATAGAGCTGCATGCAGAAATCCAACCAGCCATGCCCCACCAGCCATTTGTAGGCAAGTAGACCACTTCATTATGGATGCAAAGTGCAAGGGATGACAGATGGCAATGTATCTGTCATAAGACATGACAGTGAGAAGGAATAAATTTGATGAAAAGAAGAAGAAATAAAAAAACAATTGTGTCACACATTCAGAATATGATATCCATTTGGAGTTCATAAAGGTATTAACTATAGATTTGGGTATAATAGAAGATGTCCCACCAAGGTCACCAATAGATAAATTGATTAGAAAGAAATACATTGGTGTGTGCAGAAAACGATTGAACAGAATCAGCAAAATAATCAAAAGATTTCCAACCAGTATGAAAAGATACATTAACAAAAAGACATTACTGTGTATAATTTGAACCACTTGATTTCCAGAAAATCCAACGAGCATAAAATCCAATATGCTTGTAGTGTTGGACATGACATTATGCCATTCCCTGTAGGAAGATGAAATGTAAATTACATACAGATTTTTTTCACATTGAAAAAGTACTTTTTGTCCTAAGAGTAGCAATGCTTTTATAACTATGTATCAGCTTTTTGTTCTCCCTGTATTTTCTGATATGCTTACTATAAGTGCTTTGGAAAGACATAGCTATCAGAAACAGCTTATACCAAACTGAAATTTATATTATCATAATTTTCATACAATTTAAAATTTTAATAATAAAAATAAATATAATTTATAATAATCATACAACATAATTATACGAACCCACACTAATATTAGCCTTTATTTCTCTATGTGTGAAAAATCTTTTTTTATTCCATCTCCAATCTTGCCTTTCCTAAGGAGGATTCCTCAAGACAGCAGATTTATACTGCAAGTGCCACCTTCACAAATTTTAACTATGCAAATTTCACCAATTCTCTGCCCTAGTAAAAGCTGTCCAGTTTTGCCAATGAATTGGTTGAGATGCAGGATCTCAAATACACATTGAAAGTCATATGTTTTAAACTGTTCATAAGTGGGTATTTGTGCATAAGAAATGCTGATTAAAAATAATAATTTTAAAAACATTCAAAGCAGTAGAATGAAAAAGGTTTAAAGGAAAAATAAAGTTTGAAATGAAATACTAATATATAGTATTTATTTTCTCTAAACTGAATCAAACTGATATACAGGCTAAGACATTTATACTTTTCTTGCATGATACGTTTTTCTTTAAATGCTTACATTCAGCATTTACATTCAAAGACGTTACCTGGAATCTTCCATTTCCTTTTCTTCGTCTCTTCAGACTTTGTGATTCTTTCTGATCTCATACAACCTGTCCTATTATTTGCAAGTTCAGATTCCACAGTTGGGATTCCTTAACTGTTGTTATACTTCGGAAACTGGTTTTGATCATAAATGAAATATATCTAGAGATTTTCCGTCTTTTCTCCAAGCACCTCAACATTAATAGACCATAATTAAAACCAAACCGGGGGGGGGGAAGGGTTGAGTTTTCTAACTGTAATACATGATCTTTGGAATTTGTACTCTAAGATTACTTTTCATGTCTATATCAGAGTTGGTTTGATAATGTATGACTCTCAGTAAATAAACACATATCTGTCACCAATATTATGATGACGCAAACTTCAAGGGACCCATTTAGAAATCCTCAACCTTCAGAAATCAATCCTATGTGGAATATTCAGGCAATGCTAAAAACATCTATGCACATGAGAATAGTTGTGCAAAGTTTTGATGGAGGCTGACATAATTCTTCAATTTCATCACCAAACATACTGTGTTTCTTTACATTATTAGAAAAATGTACAGATGGCTAGAAACTCATTGACAGTTGTCATGAATTAGCACTGAGCATATTTTTATATTTTCAATGCCTATTACAGTTTTACAAGACATTAGCACTAGAATCAACAGCATGTAACAGAATAACAGAGAAGGAAGGGATATTTGGAGGTCTTCTACTCCAACCGTCTACTCTTACAGAACCTTATACCATTCCAGACAAATGATTTTTCAATCTCTTCTTAAAAACCACCAATGATCAATAATTCGTTGTTTTTTAAAAGGTACTCATTGTTATCCTCATTATTTTCATTATAAATCCTTATAATTCTTTTTTCCAGTATCATAATAATTTTTAGGGAAAAACCATAAATTATAAATATTTGTATTTGTAATACAGAGAAGAACAGGGCAAATATGCACTTGAATATTGATCATATGACTGCAAGAAAGCTACAATGGTTGTAAATGTAAGAACTGATTATAAGTCAGTTTTTTCAGTGCCGTTGTTACTTCAATAGATGTAAATCAAAGATTATCTGTATTCTGTATGATTATAACCCATATTCTGAAAGTTTACCCAAAGTCTATGGTTTTACCTAACATACAGAAAGTTGTGAATTTCCCAAGGAAACTTTTTTAATTGCTGATTTTTGATTTGCTTAAGCTATTTAGTTTAAACTATTTAGTTTTTTAAAAAGGAATAAATCCAGCTGTGCACCATAGTCTCTTGAAATACAGCAATGTAGTCTCACATCCAGGTGAGTTAACTACATACCTAAACAAAGTTTTGCAAATATTTGAGATAAAGTAGTGAATGCATCTTGGTATCCAGATGCATCCATTAAATTTTTCTCTCCCTTTTATGTATGGTTAACTCAAGTATCATAAATACCTAATTGTCCTGTTTTGTCCACAAGAACAACCCTAAGAGGTGTTTTTGTGACTCTGTGCTTATTTCCTGGTTTATTTTGATCTTTAGATAATTAACTTAATATAGAAGTGGACCCTAGTATTATGACTGTGTTGCTTAAGTTTGGATGGTGCAATGTATTTATTATTTATTTTAGACAACTGGGGATGCTGAATGTAGTTTGATTTTTGAGTGAATGAAGTTCAGGATACAAAACAAGATATTTCTTGGAAGAAAACCTAAAGTGACTTCCAGTTAATATCCTTTTTAAGTTGCCCATTGTGGCAATGCAATCTGTCAAACTGGTAAATTTCAACCTGCATTCTATCTATGTCAGTGCTCTGGAGAACACCTTAACTAATACTAGCCTTACTTTCCAGATGTTTCTCAAGAGTTGGCTTTGTTATCAGACTTGGGGGCTCTTAGGGGATTAGTGACATCCTGAAGGAGTCTATTGCTGATCAAATCTCTTGAACGTACTTGTTAATATGACTGTGTTTGACATGCTTACTGTTTTATTCTGTATTTGCTGTATCTGATAACATTCAGGCAGAGTGAAACCAGTTGTATATTATCTCAAGAAAATAAACATTAAAAAAATCTACATGGGATGTTCACTGTGTAAAAATCAAAAAACATTATCCCAAGAATGAAGTAGGAGATTAAAACCTTATAAAGTGAGGCCATAACATAATATATATTGTGTTTATGAAAAGGAAAATAAACTAGACATACCCAGTTGGTGCAAGCGTTCTTCATATGTTTTAGCCTCCAGTCCCCTAATATCTTTTTGCTCTTCTCTGCACTCTTTCTAGAATCTCAACATCTTTTTGACATCATGGCGACCAAAACTGAATGCAATATTCCAAGTGTGACCTTACCAAGGTATGATAAAGTGGTATTAACACTTCACATGAAGTGTTCACATGAGGGATTCTATCCCTCTACTTATGCAGCCCAGAACTGTGTTGGCTTTTTTGGCAGCTGCTGCACACTGCTGGCTCATATCTAAATGGTTGTCCACTAGACTCCAAGATCCCTCTCACAGTTACTACTGATGAGGGAGTTATGAGAGTTTGGGGATGTCTAGCTGAGATATTTAAGCATACTTTCTTGTTTGGATTTAAGCCATGTTATGCTTCATGTTGCTTTGCTAATAGATCTCTCCATTAAACTCATCCTCCTTACTATCAACAGTATCTCCTTTGTATACATATCCATCAATCTCTCTTCTGATATTCACACAGCACTAGATCTGTGTATCCTAGTGATGTGTGGCATTAATGGCATAAAAGTCTAATAAATAAGTAAATAAAATTTCCATATTCATTATACTGATATATTATACTGAACCATTCTTTTCTACAAAGTCTGAGATCTAGATTACCACCTATTGAGCATAGGAAAAAGGATCAAAATCAGATTTTCTAGAAATGATTATAGTTTTTAAATCAAGAAGGATTAGTTAAAATCACTTTTATTTTTATCTTAAGTCAGTCTAACTAACTGACTGATCTTTGCGTCCAGATTATCATATTTTAGGATGACTTTTCAAGCCTGAATTTATTGTCTGTATCTAACATGCTATAAAAATTTCCTTACACTCTCATGGGAAACAGTGGGGCATCCCTAGTGCCATTTATGCTCAAGGGGCTTTTACAATAGTAAATTTTGAAGGCTGATGCAATTTTTCAATTTTCTTTCCCCCTTCGTCATTAAGAAATGTAGCTTCTGCAACAAGGAAGTGCAGTGTGTCCTTTGGAAAGCTCTGGGAAAGAGCAGGTTATAGTCCTAGATTTTATTTTATTTTTTTTATTTAAAATTTTTATTGAAAATTATTAAAAAATACAGAAAAAAGTATAACAATATGGATAGAATTGCAGAGAGTAATATAATACATATAGAGTTTTAAAGTATCAATTTTCACCTAGAAAAATTCTCAACTGCCATGCAATGCTCATATAAATATTTACCCACATTCACATTAAGGTTAATATTTTCATTCTTCTTAAGATTTCTTTTTTTGCAGCCAAGCATACCACCTGTCCCAGCTCCTATATAACCCCAATTCTTGTCTATCTCGCAAAAGTCCAGTAAGCTTGTCTGCTTCTGCACAGTCCATGATCTTTGCGGTTAACGTAGCCTCCGATGGAATATTTTCGGATTTCCATTCTTGCGCAAACGAGATCCTGGCTGCAATGATGATGTGGAGAGCGAGATACCAATTAGATTTGTTTAAGTTCTCTGGTTTCATGCCTAGTAAAAACATTTCCGGATTCAAATCTATCTACATCCTATGATTTCTAAAATCCATTTTTGAATTCTAGCCCAATATTCTTTTGCTCGGGACAGGTCCACCAACTATGAAAGTAAGTTCCCATAGCAGCGTTGCATTTCCAACAAACCGGAGAGGTTCCCGGGAACATCTTCGATAATCTAGCCGGGGGCAAGTGCCATCTATACAGCATTTTGTATATATTTTCCTTATAGGAAACCAACATTGTTAATTTTAAGGTTTCCCCCCAAATTTCTTCCTATTTTTCAAGTTCAATCGAATATCCCAAATTTCTCCCCCAGGCAATCATTGAGTCCTTGATAAACTCCTCTCCAATCCAATCCATTAAGAGGAATTGATACAGTTTGGATAATACCTTCTCATCCTTCCCAACAAGATCTTATCAAGTTCCTGTAGAGAATTATAGATTCCTCCCTTGTTTTTGTCCTGAGCTGTCCTAGATTGGATCTGATTGTATGTCCACCAAGTCTCCCCACACCGCTCCCATTTCACTTCTCAAATTCATTGTTAAGTCCTCAAAATTCTTCATCATTACCTCTTGCATCGTCTGCATCATTCCCTGTAGATTCTGTAATGAGGGGGACTTTCCCAATGTATTTGCATCTTCTATAGATTTAGATGACATTTGGAGTGATAATACCGGCGATGATGCCGAGGGGGGCAGTAAAGCTTTCTTGCTCCCTTTAGTAACCGTTGTAGCCGCTGCAATGGACATCTCTCCTTGAGGTCCTCTTTGATTTTTATTTGGAGACCAAAATTTCTTCCAGCCCAGCATACACACTAAGTTCTCTCCACTTTTCAGTTTACTTAGTCTTTCTTTTCCTCAAATTCTCTATATATCAATTATTTTAAATCAACCCAATATATACGATTAATCTGCAATTTTTAGCCGATCTATTAAGTATATAGGTATATAAATTATTTTCTACAATAACAATAGTAGTTCAGTACCCTCTATATATAGTCCTAGATTTTAGAAGTTAAATTAAGATCCATACAAAATCATAAAAATAATTGGTATAAAGAAAATCACTAAAATGTATTACATCATTATTTTTAATGATAAATAAGAAAGGAACTAGTTTCATCATTTTGTGGGCATGTAGTTTTCCTTATGGGATACAACAAGAGCATAAACCTATCTTTTCCAAATATTTGCAGCTACTTCACACAAATTCTTTCTCCACTAAGGAAATGTCATAATACATAGTTCATTTAGAATGCATTTATTCAGTACAATTAATGGAGAATGATGAAAATCCATTAATCTCTCAAGATGAATTCAGCCACAAACAGGAAACAGTTGATACTGAAATACTTCTGAATATTTGGAAGCTTGGCATCCAATAAATCAGCATCAAAAATCACTTATAGATAAACCTTATCTAAAAACCATTTTATAAAGATACATCAAAAGTTAATGAAAGATACAGACACTAATGGACATCTTCACATAGCACCAAATAAACAATCAGACAAGAAATAATATTGTAATCTGAGAACCAATAAGAAAATGGTACCCCAATGAATATTGGTATTTTAAGACATGATGATGCCAATGGTTTAAGCCGTTTCTATTTTTAATTAATTTTTTATATAGTTTTATCATTTATATATGTAAACCACCCAAAATCACCTGAATAGTTAGATGGGCAGTCTCTATATTTGATAAACTAATAAGTAAATAAACTCCATTCCATTCCGCTCCATTCCACTCCAACTCCATTGACTGATGTAGTTATATAGCCTGGTAATAAAAAGTTGAATGAACACCAAAAACTGATCTGATAGAAAATGACATTTGTCTCCTCATGGGGCAAGAGCAATGTTGCTTCAGATGTGAAACACTTGGATAGTCTGAACTGCTTATTATTTGGGACCATTCTTTATTGTCCATTTGCCAGAGGGGGAAAGGCCCACATTTCACTGTGCTGTCTTATCTCCCAAAAACTGTGGCCCTGATTTTGGAAACTGAGATACCATTTCCAGAAAACTGGAAACTTGGACGAGTTGAAGCAGTTTGTCTTATGAAAAGTGAAAGGATAGACACTCATCTTCCTATAATCCTTGACATTCCCATGTCCACCAGATTGACTCTGAAAGAAAGACTAAGAAAACCTATAGATATCTTGCATGTAGTTACACTTTATTGGTGTAATGTTAAATTATAAATTAAAATTACAGATTGTTCTACTTTCTCTTCTTATAATAAAAAATTGTTGTCCCAGCAATTAGCTTGAATGTCCCCATGATTTTAATTATGGCTATCAAAGAATCTAAATTGTATCATTAATCATGATTAAGATTCTACTGATGTTGATGGCACTACTTAAAGTATAGCCCCCTTTATTATGGTAGCCTACTTGAATTTCTCATTTAATCAACTTGAATATTCGAATATCATTAGAGGTATACTGTAATTTTGCATTTAAAGTACATGCTGTCATGTCTGAATAATTACAATTATATTAGGACTACCAGATGTATACAGTTAATATTACTGCATATTACTTCTAATAAAATTGCTTTTAATGTCTCAAGGCATTGTTGAAATAAAAAATACTTTTATTTTCTTTTTAAATTATATAATTTAACCCAACAGTTATAATTTTCTATGCATTATGGTAAACAATCATGCTGAAAGGATTACTTCTCTTCTATAAACAGGTGAAAACATTCAGAGCAAGCTGAAGGTGAACAGAAAATGTTGTCTCTGCCTGTCCTACAGAAACTGTTGGTGGATATATTCAGCAGGGCAATCTGGCAGTGAAAATATGTCTTTATGGTAAAATAAATGGATTAGGTAGGATTAAAATTACCAATGAAGAAGATTTATCCATTCTCATATCTGTGTAGAAAGCTTGTTATACTTTGTTGTTTATTTAGCAGAAGCTTCTCTGGATTCATGCCAAAATACATAATTAAAATGACATATTCAAGAAAGTTAGGATGCATCACGTCTATGGCAAAAATTGTATCTAGGGAAGAGGTAAAACATTAAAACTGGAGAGCAAAATATAGTTTTGAACTCTTACCACATTTTACTAAGCCTGAGAAGTAAATGACATTATGAGGACATCTACTCTGAAAACAATGGAACACCTTCGTAACCACTTAGAGGAACATGTTGCTCTTATGATGAAAAGAAAAAGAGAATTTAGTAAAGTTTATTTTCACTGATCACTCAGGCAACTTACAAAGTATGATAAAAACTACATAGATATAGATCTGAAATGCCTAATTTTCTTCCAAATTAATTTTCTGGATTTTTTGATATAATTTAAATGCCACGAATCTAAAGTGATAAGCTAAGTATTCTGATAGTGAATTTGTTTATTTTTTAATATTCATTCATTCATTTGTATTCCATCTTTATTTTTTACAAATAATTCATGGCAGCAAATACATCCAACACACTTTGCTCCTTCTGTTTTCTCACAACAACAACCTTGTGAGGTGGGTTGGTCTGAGAGAAAGTGACTGGCCCAAAGTCACCTAGCTGTCTTTCATGGCTAAAGTGGGACTTGAACTCATAGTCTTGCATAATCCTTCTCTCCTCCCTTATCTTTCTTCTCCAAGTAGCATGGGGATGGTGTATTAATATACAGTACATACAGTACTCTGACACTTACTTATTCAGACAATTACTTTATTTTCTAATAATATTGTAGTAATATTTAGTACAATTTGGTATAATTTGGAGGTACATCAACAAAACTCGTGCTTATTCTCCAAGTATTACTTTAATTTTCAGAGAGTATCAATATCCTTCCCTTCCCTTTGCTCAGTATCACTGACTCACACAAAACTTAACACAACCCAAAAGAGTCTACAAGAACCAAGTGGTAAAAAGAAGAGGTGAGGAATAATCTAGAGATAAGAGTTCGGACTTACTGCCTATGTGAAGAAGAGAGAACTGCCATTGCATTAGATTGATCCTACATATTAAACAAAAAATGTCAGCATTGGGAATCTTCTCTCTGAAAGTGAAAACTGGATATAACAACTTCAATCTTACAGCACCTTTTGCTTAGATACGCTAGTACGCCCTCAGGCTGATCTAACAAACTGAAGGAGATCAATTTAATACTCACACTATCTGTATTAAACTGACTAACCTAGGCTGGGGACAGCAAAAAACATCACTTTCTGTCCAACCAGGAGTTGGAAAATTTGCTGTTTCAGACCTCCGGAGGGCCTCCGAGGAGGTGGGGAAGGCTGTTTTTGCCTTTCCCTGATGCATAGAGAGGATCTGGAGCCAGGTGAGAAAGAAAAACAGGCCTACCAGGCCATCGCGTTCCAGGATGGGGGGGGTGCGCATGCGCAGGGCGGAGCACATAGAATTATGGGTGTGGGCATGCACGCACGTGAACTCCCCCCCCCCATGGCACGCGATGGCAAAAAGGTTAGCCATCACTGCTATAGGTTTATATTTTTATAATATGAGAGAGTGAGCAGATGGAAAGACCAGCATTTTTATCTCCTGGTTTTACATGAAGAAAAAAATCATTTATTTCCATCAATTAGTATCTCTAGAAAAATAATGTACAAGTCACTTGATACTAGTCAATTTGCTAACTTTTTATTTATATGTTTGTAAGTCTATTGACGTCACTGATTTATTGGTGTACTATTCAATTTTGTAGTTTGTGTTGATATAATAGTGCTACACTTTGCAAGCCAGTTTTACATCTGCTTAATCAAATCATTCTCGATTATTTTATTATTCAATCAGTAGGCAGAAATCTCCTCTAATTTTTCTTCATTTGCTTATAGCTTTGTGGTCAGAAATTTAAGAGGACAAAGAAAGAGGGATTCATACTGCCAGCAGCATCTGAAACAAAAACTGAAATTGGAGAATACCAAATGCTAGATTTATTCCTGGTTCACAAGCAAAATAGAAAGAAAATGATCTGCATTTGCTTGTCATGTTAGAAACTCTCTTCATCATGATTTACCATTTTTCAAAATGATGGAGTTTCTGCTGATTAAAACTGCAATGGATGGGGAGAAAGAAAAGAATTTGGAGATAAGGCAGGAGTTGGATTCCCTTGGTTTAAAAATACCAGCATTAAAAGCCTTAGTTATTAATTTATATGAAAAATGAATCATCTGAAGATTATGCTACAGACATTGACACTGATGAAATTTAATAAACCATTTTAAATGAATTGATTTATTAGTTTTGAGACTTTTACTTTATGGATACTAACAAAGCTGAGAATTCTTTGGAGGAAAAAAAGATATGATAGCCATCTCAGTGAAGGAAACTTTAATCTGGGAATATTTGCTTCAGATCAATTTACAACATTTAACAGAACAACTTTGGGACTTTTTTTTTCATGGATATAAATAAAGCTTCTTCAGGAAAGAAGATTTGATAGACTCTGGAGAAGAAAAAGACTCTACTGTATTCTATGAAGATAAGCTGGAGGATGTGACTTAACTATAATGTTTTAATTAATTAGGATGGATTTTTTTTTAAAAAAATGGTATATGTACTGATAGAAAGCTTTAAGTAAGCTTTGTATGTATAAAATGAGTATGTATGTATACACATGTCTGCTGGTTCTTTAAGTAATGCTGAATAATATTCCAAAGTTTGTAAAATATTATGGACTAGATTTGAAAATATGAGCATGAATGACATATTATCCCACATAGCAAAGAGAAGCAGAGATGGTTAAACTGATTCTTTTATCCAAATAAGAGATTATATTTAATTTTCTCTATTTTGAAATTGCTTCCAGATTTTGTGTTTGCAATGGGGGAAAAAATGAAACTTTGATTCTGTTTTTGTAAACTAGACAGGGTTATTGTTATTGAAATGGCTTGTACATACTGTTGTGTAGCAAAAGCAAAAAGTTGTGATTGTAATGTTGTTACCTTCTACTATGCTAATAGAGTTGGAAGTCAATGAATTTTTCTTTTTTTCCCTCCCATTACACTATATTCCTTCTTTTTCTTTCCCACTCTTACTTTTCCATGTTTTTTTCTTCGTATTTTATACTTTGATAAACTAATAAAAAGTGAAATAAAAGAAAAACAAGATGATATACAAATACAATTTTAATTCTCCATATCTAACAAATCACAATTTAGAGTAAATCACACCGCAAGTAAATTACACAAAGAAATCCCAAATTATGAAGCTTCATCTATTTACAAATTGTCATTATTTTTAATTTCATAATTAGATGGCAGAATACATTATTTCTTAATTATTATTTTTTAATGTTTTACTTCTTGCTCAGATTCCTCCAACCAAGGAATTTCCAAAAAGCAGCTTTGACATCTTTGTTTCTCATGCTGTAGATTATTGGATTCATCAGTGAAGGGACCAAAGCATATAGCACAGTAAATATTTCATCCAGCCTAGATGGAGAATTTGCAGGTAGTACCAGGTGAGCCAAGAGGCTACTGCTAATGAATACACAAACCACAATGAGGTGCGGGATGCATGTGGAGAAGGCCTTTTCCCGTCTCTCAACTGAGGGCATTCTCAGCACAGTGGAAAAGATCCGCACATAGCTCAAGATAATGAATGAGAGGCAGCCAACTCCTAAGCATGAACCGAAGACAAGAACCCAAGTTTCACCAAGGTAAAAATCAGAACAAAAGAGCTTGATTAGTTGTGGAACTTCACAGAAGAACTGATTGATGATATTGGAACAGAAAGGCATTGAAAAAATATTCCCTGTGTGTAGAGCTGCATGCAGAAATCCAACCAGCCATGCCCCTCCGGCCATTTGAATACAAGTGGACCACTTCATTATGAATGTAAAGTGCAGTGGGTGACAAATAGCAATGTATCTGTCATAGGCCATTACAGTGAGAATGAAGAAATTTGACGATAGGAAAGAAACATAGAAAAACAATTGTGTCACACATTCAGAATATGAAATCCATTTGGAGTTCACAAGGGCATTAACTATAGATTTGGGTATAATTGAAGTAGTGATAGCAAGATCACCAATAGATAAATTGATTAGAAAAAAGTACATTGGTGTATGCAGATATCTATTGATTGCTATTAAAACAATAATCAGAAGATTTCCCATCAGGTCAAAAAGATACATTATTAGGAAGAGAGTGATGTGTAGCTCTTGATTTCCAGTAAATCCCAGAAGAAAAAAAACCCACTATACTTGTTTTATTAGGAATGACATTATGATGTCTCCTACAGAAAAATGAAATATAAATTATACATAAATTTATTTTACAATTATAAGTTATTTTTCTTCCTAGAAGTATTAATCACTTACATTGTTTTATTAGGCATGACATTATGATGTCTCCTACAGAAAAATGAAATATACATTATACATAAATTTATTTTACAATTATAAGTTATTTTTCTTCTTAGAAGTATTAATCACTTACATTGCAGCAGTTATAACAGTATTTCATAGCCTCTCTACTTTTTTCTGATATGATTCATTATTTGATAAGATAGAGTTTTAAAATGTAGGTAATGTTATATTGAAATTAACATATTTTTCTATTATACAATATATCCCAACACTGAACTTATCTTTCTTTTCTCTGAGTGTGAGAATTCTCTTTTCCATTTATGTCTCAGATTTCAATCTCATCTCTCACCTTGCCTTTCTTAAAATGAATGCTCCTCAAAACAGATCATATAAATGTGTTCAGTTTTTATGCAGAGCAAGTGCCATCTTTAAAAGAATTTTCACAACACAAATTTAACCAAACCTCTGATCTCCCTAGGAAACAAACTATCTTCTCCAGTCCTAGTAATCAGTGACAACAGGTGAATGGCCAAGCTAAAATAGCCTAACCACAGTAAAGATAACTGAAATGTAGAATC